ATGACCTTGGGGCTCTCACTTTTATTCTCGGATTTCACATTGTTCGAGATCGTTCTGCTCGAACTCTCACAATACATCAATCCCAATATGCAACCTCGATTCTCAAGAGGTTCAGCATGGAGAATTCAAAACCAGCCCTTACTCCAATGGAGTACAACCTCAAGCTGTCTGAGTCGATGTGTCCTCAGAACGATGCTGAACGCCAGTCTATGGTGGACAAGCCCTACCGATCAGTAGTCGGCAGCATCATGTATCTCATGATTAGCACTCGACCCAACCTCGCGTTCGTCGTCCAACAACTGAGCCAGTTCCTCTCGAACCCCGGCCCTGCCCACTGGCAGGCAGCCAAGCGCGCCCTCCGGTACATCAGAGGAACGATCGACTACGGTCTCGTCCTCGGCGGTGCGTACGATCACTCCGCTCCGCTCCATGCGTATGCGGACAGTGACTACGCTAACTGTGTTGACACCCGACGCTGCGTCGCGGGTTTCGTGACATTTTACCGGAACTCTGCGATCTCTTGGATTCTTGGATTCTTGGATCGCTAAGAGGCTACGGAGCATAGTCCTCTCGACAACCGAGGCAGAACTCATGATTCTGTGCACAGTTGCACAAGAATGCCTGTACATCAAGCAGGCAGTTGGTGAGATGGGACATCCCATCACCACATCGATTCCTCTTCACGAGGACAATCAGAGCACCATCCAGATCGTGAACAACTCTGGCCACCATGGGCGTACCAAACACATCGATGTACGCTACCACTTCATCTACGACCTTGTGGAACAACAGACGTTTAGTCTTGTTTACACCGATACGCAACATCAAGTCGCGGATATCTTTACCAAACCACTTGATGTGACAACGTTCTGCGCTTTGCGCACCCTGTTCTGCTAGAGAACATCATCACTGCCCTGTCAGTCAGGTAGCAGTGTCTGCTAGCTGTGTAGGAGGTTTTTGTGCCTTCTAGAGGCTTTTCCTCAGAGTAGAAGACAGCGCAGAGTCGTCACGGAACATCACAGGATGTCGTGACCAATCATAATCTAGGATTTGATTGGCTGTTGGAGGAACTGGCACATCTAAAGCCAGTTCCTCCTCTGTCGTCAGAATTAATTCACTTCCGGTTCTCCCCTCAACTACTCATCTGTCTGCTACTGCAACCTGCCCATCCAACTGATCGAAAGGTAGTCGAGGTAAATAGTTTTAACGCATTTGATTGGCCCAAAATTATAATTCCTTGAATTTCAATTCCTCAAGTCTTCATTTGGCATGCCATCAACGATGCCCTGTCCGAAGCGCAGCTACACCATCGCAACGAAGCTCAAGGTACTTGGCCTTTTGGAATCAAGTACCGATAAGCAAGTGGCTGACCTGCTCAGCATTCCACGTCGCACCATCCGATCGTGGGTCAGCCAAAACGTGACATCCTTGCATAACGTTACGACGGCAACAAGAAGTGAAAGAAAGTCGAACCCGGTGGACGGCGTGAAGCATTTCCCGACTGCGATGGTCTCGTTGAGTATATTAAGGAACTGCGAGCCCAAGATCGAGCGCTGACAACGACGCATCTCGTCGATTGGATCGAGAGACACCAAGCGGCTTGGCTACAGTCGTACAATGCACGCAGAAAGCCTGGTTCTGGCGACCAAGGCCTGCTTCGACTGCTCCAAGGCTTTCTTCACCGCTACGGCATTACGCGACAACGACGTTCTGGGCCAAGTGCGTGACGAATTTGCCCTCCAGCTGCCGGCAGTTGAATAAACGTCTTGCAGCAATTTCAATTGTGCACCATGGAGTATGGTGCACGTCATCTAAAAACTTCCAACTGGCCAAATCGAGGAGTGGAGGTTTTATTATTTAACGTACAATTAATGTAGTTAAACCCAAAA